ACTGATGCTAGTGTTGTGAAGAGCCAACGTAAGACCATTACCCTTGCTACGAAAATGGATGTATTAACCTGACTTGGAAAAGGGGAACGTGTTGTGGACATAGCTGCTGTGCTTGGTCTAACCCCCACAACGGTGCGTACTATCCGGACCAACGCTGACAAGATTAAGGTTAGTGCTGGAAGTGGTACTACAGTACTCTCGGTTCAACTAAAACAACTCGTACTATGCAGTAAGTACTGTACTGAGATAGAAAAAGTGGAAAAGATGCTGGCTATGTGGATGGAGGACCAGAATCAATTAAATGTGCCTGTGAGCCTTATGGTTATCCAGCATAAGGCCAGATCCTTGTTTGATGACATGAAGGAAGAAGAGGGTGAAGGATCGAAGAAAGAGACCTTTACGGCCAGCCGAGGCTGGTTTCAACGACTTAAGCACAGGTATAACTTCCACAATATTAAGATGACTGGTGAAGCAGCCAGTTCAGATCCGGTTGCTGCCGAGACATTCCCGCCAGAATTCAACCGGTTTATCTAGGCAGGAGGCTACTCATTGAAGCAAGTCTTCAATGTGGATGAGACTGATCTCTTTTGGAAGAGGATGCCTGAGAGGACCTATATCTCCAAGGAGGAGAAAAAAGCACCAGGTTTTAAAGTGGCAAAAGACCACGTGACGCTGCTGCTCGGCGCAAACGCTGCTGGCGACTTCAAGTTGAAGCCTCTGCTGATTTCTCGTGCTGCTAACCCACCTTCCTGTCATTTACAAGGCAAACAAGAAGGCATGGATAACCGGCGCCATATTTAGCCAGTGGTTAAACGTGTACGCCGTCCCTGCACTGTAGGAATACTGTGCCAAGGAGAACCTTGCCTTCAAAATTCTTCTGATCGTTGACAATGCCCCAGCTCATCCTCCCAATCTCAACGACTTGCATGACCATGTAAAAGTTGTTTTCCTGCCTCCCAACACAACAGCAATGATGCAGTCTGTGGACCAAGGCGTCATCGCCGCATTCAAGGCGCATTATTTACGCTGTACCATGGCCCAGCTGCTCAAGGCTACAGACGGAGAAAATAAACCAACGATTCGAGAATATTGGCGTGGCTTCAAAATTCTTCATGCAATTGAAAACATTGGCAAAGCATGGGAAGCAGTTTCAGAAAGTTGCCTGAATGGTGTGTGGCGTAAACTGTGGCCTGAGTGCGTCAACAGTTTTACGGGATTCACGGACTTAGTCCCAGCTGTGAATATGGATATCATCAGCTTGGCTAGACAAGCAGGCTTTGATGAGCTGGTATCAGAGGATATTGCGGACGTCCTGGCATCCCATACAGAAGAGCTCACCAACGAAGATCTGCAACAATTAACAGTACACAGTCCCGTTGAAGATGACGACGACGAAGAAGAACCTCAACGAGCGCTAACGGAGGAGGAGGCAGCCGCAGAGTCTCAGTGACACCCCACCCGCCTCTCCTGCCCTCCACGCCCACCTCCTCCTCCTCCGCCTCCCGCCATCCCCCCGCCATCCTCCTCCGCCTCCCACCATACCATCCTCCTCCGCCTCCCACCATACTCCCCCGCCATCCTCCTCCTCCACTCCACTATCCACTCGCTCTACCACCTCCGCCCATTGCTGAGTGCCAATACAAACTTAGTACTGTAGTTCTATATACAGTGGTCCCTCGGTTTATGAACAGTTCGATTAATGAAATTTCGGTTAACGAATTTGCTCCCAAAAGGATTTTCAGTTTGAATAATGAACAAAACTTCGATTAACGAAATCCTTACAACAAACACGTTTTGTTGTGCGCATCAGCTGATCGGCCAGTACGCCAATACAGTAATTGGTTCTATGTTCACATTCGTTTCCAATGGAGTAAATATCAAGAAAATTGGTCTCTTGAATATTTCTGCATTTTTTTATATTAAAATTATTGGTCATTCTGAAATTTTGTTAACATATTGATAATATATACAGTACAGGGAAAAATTTTTGTGCGCCCATCAGCTGATTGAATCACCCAACAACGCTTCTCAGTTTAACTTTGTTTACAGAGGAGTGAACATCGATTTTGTTGGTCTCTTGAATATTTTTGCATTTTTACATTAAAATTATTGGTCATTCTGAAATTTAGTTAACATATTGATAATACTGTATACAGTGCAGAAACTATTATAAAACACAAAGAAGGCATTAGAACCAATGCACTCTGTAAAGAATATGGCATGTCATCATCGACTGCCTCTACAATCAGTTGTTTGATATGTAAACAAAGCTGCCGGAAATACAACATACACACCTCAAAGTAAGTTAAAATACAGTATTCTATTATTTTTTTATTTTTTATTATACAGTATACTGCACAGTACAGTACTGTATTTAGTTTATATTTAATGTTTTGTTAACTCTATTACTGGTATACAGTACTTTATATGTAAAGTATACTTTTTCTGTGAGTTGGAACCAATTACCCAATACAGTAGTATCCCATTGAAATAATAGATTAGGTTAACAAAATTTTTGGTTAATGAACGACTCTGTGGAACGAATTGTGTTCGTTAACCGTACTGTACTGTACTGTACAGTATATACAGTATACTATTTTCTATAGAAATGGCAATGAATTTCTGTACAGTGGTCCCTCGGTTATCGAACACAATTCGTTCCAGAGGGTCGTTCTTTAACCAAAAATTTTGTTAACCGAATCCATTGTTTCAATGGGATATTGGGTAATTGGTACCAGCTCACCGAAAAGTACATACAAAGTAAAAAAAAAAAAAATGCAGTAAAGTATACTTACTTTGAGGTGTGTATGTAGAAGGTTCCTGGTTGATGATGATGATGGGAATTAGAAGTAGGGGTGGAGGAGAAGGGAGAAGAGAAGGAAGTGGGGATGGAGGAGAAATCACCTTTCAGGGGACCCATGCTTGATGCCCTCATTTCACCAATAAAATTTTAAGTTCACTAGGTGTAATTCAAGATTATTTTATTTAAATCAACACTGCACTGCACTATATATTATCAATATGTTAACTAAATTTCAGAATGACCAATAATTTCAATGTAAAAATGCAAAAATATTCAAGACACCAACAAAATAGATGTTCACTCCACTGTCAACAAAGCCACACTGACGCCTGGTGGCTGAGTCAAGAGGGTTATGGGCGCACAAAAAAATAGTTCCCTGTACTGCATATATTGTCAATATGTTAACTATGTTTTAAAATGACTAATAATTTTAATATAAAAAATGCAAAAATATTAAAGAGCACAACTTTCTTGATATTTACTCCACTGGAAACGAATGTAAACATAGAACAGATTACTGAATTGGCAGACTAGCCCATCAGCTGATCAGCTGATGTTCACAACAAAACGTGTTTTTCGTATGGATTTCATTATTCAAAGTTTTGTTCATTAACCGAATTAAAGATCCTTATGGGAGGTAATTAGTTAACTGAAATTTCATTAATCAAACCGTTCGTTAACCGAGGGACCACTGTATATTTAATGTTTTTCATGGGGCAAATGGAGGCTGGGGAACGTAACTCCCGTATTTTATCTATTTCTTATGGTGGAAATTCATCAACTTAATGTTGTTTCGTATAACGTTGCATTTTTAGGAAAGTAAACCCGACGTTAAGCGAGATAAAAATTTTAGTCCTTTGTACAAAAATTTACTAAATTATACTAAAATTTTTATATCAATTGCAAACTATAGCATGTTTATATTCAAATTAACCACTATCTTACAAGGGTTCCAGCAAGGTTAATTACACTCTTAAATCAATTCATTGACATTTTATAATTGAGAAAAACATAAACTCCCCCATTATGACAGATAAATAAATATCTCTAGGTAACCATTGTCTGCGCTCTGGCCCAGCTGTCATAATAAATCAACTCCCATCCGACTTCTAGTAAGTGTGACCTCTAGTAAGTGTGACCGTGGTTTTTAGGCTTAAAGTTTTTATTTTATAAATTACCAGACTAAAGTTAGCAAAATATATATTGCATTGCTGGAATCCTTGCAAGACAGCGAATAATTTGAATATAAACATCATAAATTTTGTACAATAGTTCATAAAAAAATATTTATTTCAATAAATTATATATCCCTTATTTATTATTTATATACTGAACCCTGTGTTGTCTTTAATGGTGATACTATACAGTGGTCTAATTAGATTTGATATAGGCCTAGTGAGAGCTAATAAATAGATGACGACATTTGATCTATAAACATGCTGGAGGTGGGAGCTGGCCGGTTATTGCTACAGTCGCAAGTTTTTGGTTTATTCATTATTAAACAGTATTCTCATATGATCAGCCTATTACAGTGTATGTTTCATCACAAATAATATAAAATGTTAATTAATAGAAAAAATACACCAGGTGTGTGTCTGTGCGCATGGCATGTTAATGTAGGTAATAATTCATTTCTGTCAACTGTATACACTGTACTGTAGTTTCAACCTTATGACTGCTGAACTTTTTCAATAAATTGTTAATTAATATTACTATTTACCTCACTACCCCCCCCCCCCCCCCCCAAGATCACACAATAACTACCATGGCCATATATGTATATATTTATGTTTTTGACCTTATGATAATCTTTTATTCTATTTTTGGGGGGCATATTCTGCATAAGCGATTGTGTGCATGTAACAGAGTAAAAAAAATTAATAAAAATACATATATCTACTCGGAATTAAAATTGAAATATAACAACACCGCTCAATGGTTGGCCCAGTAGGGGTGAAGCTGACCTTGTGTTCGAAAATCAAAGCTGTAGTTAGCCCACTCAGTTTAAAATATTACTGTAGGGTATCATAATTTTTCATTTGCGAATAAGCGAGGTTGGGAATAACAACTCGAGTGTTCAGGTATAAAACATTTAGCAAAAAAAAAAAAAACTCAAATGCACATGATATAATTAAAAAGGAAAATCAACAAAACACCAATGTTCATAAATGATGGAGAAACAATCTTCATTTCATACCTTCTAGTAGTTCCATTGAGATACCTTCAACATACATGTCCCACCATCGCTGGTGCTTAGGAGTTCTTCCGTTCCAATCAGTTACTTCAAACTTGCTTAATTTTCCTGCCAGATACATAAGAGCAATGGCTATGATTTCTGGTTCCCACTGTAGGCATAGTGTTGTGCACAGGCTGAAAAAAAAAATATACGGTACAGTATTTAAATATAAATTATAGCAACAAAGGCACAAATATCCAACTGATTCCTCTATGGTTTTTAAACGACTCATATCACAATGGTATATGTTACAGCAGTATGTACTGCCCGTAAGGCTCACTCATGCCTCGCAACGCACCATGGTTACGGATAGGCCTAGAACAGCTTCGGCTTGCCCTAACCAGGGTGTTGGCAGCTAACAGGTGCTATGTGTAAGTTTGTACAGGGAGTTCCCAGGTTACATACGTCTGACTTATGAACATCCACCGATACGAACGAGGTCCCATAAAGTTAAACTTTAAATTAAGGGTTTCTTTTTTTAATGGGAATTAGCCCACCCAGACACATTAGACAATACATTATGCTTCCAATATCTTCCCAGACAGTAGTACTTCCCTGTTTGACAGCTGCCAACTACCAACTACCTTTACCTGATGACTTATTGTTTACTTTCATTTTCTGTATATTGTCAATCTTCTTTTCTCTTTAATTAAGAGATTTCAGATGTATATAAGGACTTAAGACTTTTATATAGTGGGATTTTAAACACTGTTCTGTAAGTACGGTATGCATATATGGTATGTGTTTCAACCTACATACATTTTCAACTTAAGAACGTCCGTAGGAACGGAACTTGTACTTAATCCGGGGACTGCATGCAATGCCTGGCAACATCACCTCAGTTGGCTCCTTGTATAGTCTTGTACCTGCAACTCACCTCACACTACCCCAAGCTCACACTACCAAAGGCTCACACATGTCCAGCACTCATCACAACCATAGCTGATAAATAATACTGTCACTCTATACATTATCAACATTTCCCCAAATCATTTTTCTATCAGTTACAATAATTGTGCTTTCAAATTGGTCTGTCCGTACCCTCAACAGTCCTACTGCCATGGTACCATACAGTCATGATGAAAGGTTAGTACTGTACTGCAAGCTGCCTTGACATTATATAACCCTAATATACCAAGTGTAACCAGACACATCTTCAACATTGCTAAAGCTGCCTCCCAAAAGCTGGGAATGCTGTACAGATGCCATAGCTACTTCACTCCCGAGCAGTTGTTTCGTCCTAACTTGCAGTACTGCTCTCATATCTGAGGTGGCTCTTCTTCTGTTCTACTGTTAGATAGGGTGGAATCAAAGGCATTTTGTCTTATTAACTCTCCTCCTTTAGTTGATAATCTTTCTTCCCTTTCTCTTCGCCGCAATGGTACTTCACACACACTCTTTTACAGGTACTTTAACGGGCATGGTGTTCGGTGGAATTGGTATCCTGTGTACCGCCGGCAAGGCCTTGGGTTCATAACACTCGTCTTGCCCACGGTGAAGACCGTTTCTCTGTGGATGTCGGTCACACTAGTATAACCCATTATAGTACATCCTTCTTTCCTCACCCAGCTGAGCTGACTCCAAGACACATGTGTGTGTATGTATGATAATAATAATAATCAAAGGTTTATTAAGATAACATGGCAGCCCGAAGGCTGAAAATATACAATGAACAGAGATGATAGATTACATTTGGTGAAATCGGGGAGTGGTTCACTTGAGTGACAAAAGCTTTCAAAACAACAATATAATAAACAAAGAGTCAACATATGGATTAACTTTAGACCTAGTACTGTTTGAGCTGGTCTTGTAAACATTCTTGTGACCTGATGTTGGCGCCCACTGTCTGGATGGCCATTGCGTTGTACCTGGGTGCTAATCCACTCCCTCACTACAGCTGCAGATCCAGCACGTGGTCGGGGTAGGTCCTTCAGCTCACACAGGGTGCTGGAGATGGTTCTTGTTCCTCATGTGATGTAGATAGGAATTCATAATTCCTCACTTGGGTGGAGTAGGGAGTCCTCATTTCTCTCCTGATATAGTTTGGAGTCTTTCTTGGCTTTTCATCCAGTGTTGGTGGTGGTGAGTATATGGCAGACTGGGTGTGTGTGGTCCGGTAAGGTCAACATTGACGCTAAGCACTGATTGTCACTCTTAGCAGTTTTTTCTTTCTTTCGAACTGAAATTGTCACTTTTGTATATCACTTGTGGGTTGATCGTCAATCTTTACACTGTATGTACTGTTGACAAATCCAGATGGGGAGGGGAAAATGAGGAAAGGGAAAGCCCGACAAACCAGGCTGGCAGCTGTCTCCATGGTCAAGAGACCATGGCCGCGGGCAGCACCGACACACACACACACGTGGTGTGTCACATCGGGGGAGGAAGCACTGACCAGGTGAGTGGCGAGTCGACAACACGGTTACAGCTCACTGCCTCCACCAGTCCACACATACATTCACTTCCCACACATCCATACTCTTGATTTTTCTTAATTTAAAGATTTATATTCTATTTTCTTTATTTCTAAGCCATATTAGGGAATTGTAATGATTATTTGTTATGAGTATCCACCATAAGTTTCTGTTCTGGGTATAAAATACGTTGGTTTGGATGGTGTGTGTGAGTGGCTCGGGCAGCTTCGCTCACTACTCGCCCACACCGACTGAACCCACATTTACGTATTAAATTTGTTTTACCACATTATCACTTTGTGTATTTATTAATGCAACAGTTGTCTCTCATGTAATCGTGGAACTAATGTCAGTAAGGTCATTTAGGTAAAGCTTATGTATTGGCCAATCCGGCTATGATACGTCAGTACTGTGGCGGAAGAGAGGTGGAGTCTGTTGACATTTAACTATTGAGTTTTGATATTGCTTGATATTGATCGTGTGTGAACTTGATGGACCTTCAGTCCTTACTCAGCCACTTCCAAACAACATGTTATTATTGTTATTTATTTTATTTTGTGTACATATGTGGTGGTGTGAATAAGTTATTATATTTTCATATATTTATTGACTTGTTTAGGTTTAGACCTGTTAACTTGACCTTTGTTGGGGGGGAACTGGGGATTAATAACCTAACAAATAATACTGATATATTTGAAAGATTTCAGTGATTTGTGTTTATGTAACGATCTACCTGAGGGTCATAACATTATGCCACAACTTTTTTAGTTTCATTACATGTAACAGTGGCAACATGCCATCTCACAGGCCACCTCATCCCCAGTTTTCCCTTTCCCAGTGAGTCAAGCTATCACAAAACTGAATTTTAACCTAACGTTAATTCGATGTTCTTGCTGGCACGTCCAGGTATCCGAGCCATCATTGGTCCCAATGAGTTCATGTAAAAGGAATTGCACTGTAGCCCTAATTAACCCTTAAGCCCCCCCCCCCCCAAAAAACTTCTGTGACGCCTGTTGGGCCACCACTCCACAACCCCCTGACGGAGACAGGATGATCCTCCCCATACTGGCCAGATATTATTTGTTAAAGGAATATGTTTCCTTCCTTAGGCTTTTTTTAAGCATTTGCCTCCATGTGTAATGTTAACCTACATCTATTGAGGATAAAATCTTTCACCTACAAATTGACAATAACACATTTGCTGTAATCAGACATACCTAGTTGCCTCAACAATTGCAACCCCAGTTGCAATTGGGGGTGCAATTTCAAATTCTGTATCATTACTAAGGAATAACGAAGTCTCTGGTGCTCTCTAAGATTAAGAGAGAAAACGGAGGACTCAGGCGTCCTGAGCGAGAGAAAACGGACTCCTATGATGGGGGACACAAGCACTCACACGTGCCACTCATACTGACAAACTTGACACTCACTTACTTGAAAAGTTTTACCAACCATTAGTTGTGTATGTTATCTAGTGAATTTAGTCAATATTGTACAGTACAAGTACACTGCAATACAGTGGTCCCTCGGTTAACAATGGACCTAAGTGCAAACCTGTACTGTACATGTACTAAAATTGTTATGTCTATTGCAAATATAGATTGTTTACACAGGTATTCAAATAAATCACTATCTTACAAGAATCCCAGCAATGTAAGTTATATTCACCCAGGTCATTTGGGTGGCAAATTATGAGAAGAGCTTAGTCACTCTTAAGGAATGATAAATAAACAGGCAGGCCTTCAGCGCCAACTGTCAAATCATATCTCAAATAAATAAACAAACACCAGACACTCTGTCACCTCACCTCCCGCTTCCCCCCTGCTCCCCCCTCTTCCCACGCTCCCTGGCTACCTCCCTCCTTGTGTTCCCAGACAAAAGATTGATGATAATTTTAACTTTAAGGTGTTTATTTTATATAATATCTGAGACTAAAGTTAGGATAATATAATTTGTATTGCTGAAATCCTTGCAAGACAGAGATTAATTTGAATATAAACATCATATATTTTGCTTGAGATAAAACTTTTAGTACATTAGTGTACAATACTGTAGTACATTTTATAATACTGTATAAAGTTTTTCAACTGTATTTTCTTCATTTATTTTCATCCATTTACATGCACACACCATACTAAAAGAAACGTAAACTAAATACTGTAAATGACTTTAGTGCAAAGCTGGAGTGCACATGTACTAATTTAATTACGGTACTAAAATTGCTGTCTAGTGCGAATTATAGGTTGTTTATATTTAAATAAATCAACATCTTATAAGAATCCCAGCAATGTAAATTATATTCACCCAGGTCATTTCACTGGCTTTTTATAGGAGAGAAGCTTAGTCACTGAAGAACTGATAAATATACAGCGTTAGACCTGGGCCTGTGCCAACTGTCAAACCGCTCCCCTCCCCCCACGCCCCCTCGCTCACTCGCTCCCACCCTCTCCCCCATCTGCCCGGCGTTGCTGGAATCCTTGTAAAACAGTGAATAATTTTAATATAAACGTCATGTATTTTGCACAAGAGATAAAAATTAATCACCTGTATCACATTACAGTACTGATTTAAGAGTAAAAGTGTATATGTACGTATATAGTATTCCACATACACATAAGTATAAATACAAAGTTTATGTGATGATCGGACAACGTCCATTTCGGTTAACGTCACGTTTCCAAGAACTTATCTTGGACGTTAACCGGCGCATGACTGTACAG